CATCATGGGAATGCCGAAATCCAAAAAATTTTGAACAGAATCAGCGAACTTCTTCGTGTGGAGCCCGGTCGAACTCCGATGGCAGCCATATTTGTTTGTATTATTAGAGGACGCTCACGCGCGTAATCGCTCCATATTTGGAATTCGCATTTCCTGGTATGGTAGGATGAAAATACCCAGTGCAATACCGCAAAATTACGACACTTTGTAACTTATGGCGTTACGGTGCCAGATGTATAATAATAACTGCTATTTGGATATGCGTACTAATTTCCATACACCAAAGGCAAGCTCATAATGGTTTTGCTATGTTACATTGTACAACTTTGGATTAGGTGCGAAGCCATACGTGCTTGTCCAGAGTTTTATTTAAAAAGAGTTACACTTGCTTCAAAGTCGCTTCCGTTCTAAGTAATTGAGTAATTATGTAAGCCTTGATTGGTTTACCTACTCCTGATAAAAAATAAACAGGGTGTAATCGATCTAACGAAATTACTGTTTGTGCAATGAATTGGATTACAAAAACATGTTACGAGATCCCGTGTAAGGTAGCGAAGCAATCTTTCTGTTAATAACAATTCATTAGAAAAAGGACTACATCAACAGTCTGTAATGGCCATCTTCTCGTGAGAGAGAATTTTGTGTGATTTCCACGCGCAGAAGGACAATGAGAAACCTTCTTATTCCCGTTGCTCGTGACAGAAATACCGTTCTCGACAATAGGTTCACTGTGGTTAAATGCGAGGTAATGAAATCATGAAGAATTTTCGGGATATTCTCGCAATGACCAGTAGCTATTCTTCGGACTGGGACAGTGATATGACTTGAAAATTGAAAAAAAAAAACATCTTATGGCGATTCACAAATCTGTAGCTCGAAATATATGGTGTTTCAATCACATACAATCTAGACGATTAAAATACAGTATAATACAAAACATGTTCAAATTAATGAATGCAAGATGCATGTAACCTCAAGGCAGCTTGTAAGTTAGCACTGGCAGGTGATGGAGGAGAGCGTTTTATTCTGTGATCGTCAAGGGACCGAAGGCTTTTTATCAGTCAGTGTAACCCCAATGATATGCCATAGTAAACTCAGATGGATGCGGACTGGGTGATACATTTTAAAATGGTGACAAAATCAGATTAGAGTTCCCCAATGCAAAGATAGGTAGATGGAATGCCATAACGCTATAGTTTTCCCGCAAAAATGTTGGTGCAAAGTATTTTTGTATAATTGTTTAATCCTTAGCTTTGAAATAGTTAGCTTCTTTTATCCAATAATCTTCTCTCAATTGGCCATCTATTTTAGCATGAATGAGAGATAGCTCCGCGTAGAGAGGAGGCGGCTTGCGGTGTAGGTACTCAACCCCATATGTCCTTATATAATGTCTCATAAATAACGTTTAGTTAACAATAACCGCTAAATGTCGAAGTTGAATTTATCTTGAAGTGATTGAGACTGGCGCTTTCCTCATCACCAGGAATAATGCTCAACCAAAATAGATTCATCAAAAGTCAAATAGACGCAATCTCATGGCGCCTTGTTGCAGTGGGATTTTAACCGGAGAAAATAGAAATTGGTTAAAAGCCAAGTAAGAAATCATCATTGGGGAGAGTTCTTGTATGTAGTATTCCCTTGAGGAGTTAGCTGATCTCAGACTTATTTTAAAGAGTGGTGGATTGAACGAACATTGTTTTGTCATTTTGCAGTTTAGCACTGGGCTCGGTGACTAACATCATGCTGCTGAAACTGACACAAAAAACCTCAGATGTAGCATTTCAGTCGTCGATACACTTTGATAGGAAACGTATCTATTGATAATTATATTTGAGATAACAAAATATCAACCGAGTTCTGGCTACGAGTGTTACAGAGTATAACCATCCCCGCTATGAGATGTGCATTTCACACAGTATACTACATACGTTCTGCAAATTGTCGCGTAAACACGTACAGATCGCTTTCAAATAAGATGCTATCAGACATCAAAATAGCTGGTATAGAACCATTATTACCATTGAAGCATATGGAGAATGATAACTGACGATTGTTGCTAGGCACTGGATAAATCGACCGGCCAAAATGTTTATGTTTGATAACATATCAATCAACACAGAGCTCGGTGCGTGGCATGTGAAACCATGGCGTCGCTTCGTCTGTTATTTAAACTGTTTGTTTGTTCTTAACTATTTTAATAACTCGCCTGCAGATACGTCACTATATTAGTTGTATCATATTGTATTGCAATGTATGCGTTGATGTAACAATATGACAGGAAATGAAATCGCCAAGTGCCCATAGTTGTTGATAAATCGCAATCACTATATATCCACTTTATGAATTAATATTGTGCAAGTAATTGTAAGCGTATCTACTTCGCATTATGCGAACAATTGTTCAACCTATACCACGGAAATGGGGCGCCAAAGACTGATTTATATCGTTACCACGCAGATGAAGAAGAAATACCATAACACCAAACCTAAATCTGAAGCGATGTACATAAATAAACGAATTCGAATTGATAATTATGGCATATAGTAGTAGATAATATTTGCCTTAAGTAACTATAATTCAAAATAGCTAGACATATATATGTATAGAAGTTAAAATATGTGAGTAATGAGGTGTAATGACATTGAGAGTGATTTCCACAATGTATACAATTACTACCGATTCATGCGTACATACGAGTGATGGAAACTAAGTTCCCCTTACATTACTATTCTGTAATCGCAGTGACTGACCCTTAAACGCATGTACGTGTGAGTTTTCTTACATTTGGTTATCTTGTTCATTTCCATGATGCTAGGCATGTATGACGCCCTTATGGGAGTCATGCCGACGCTGTGTTTCCGTTTCTATGCATGATATGAATCTTCAAAACGTTCGTATTAATGTGTCATGAAGCGTGCTTCCCCACCTCCCCATATGACATATTAGTTGGAAGCATTCTTCATCTATATAGAACTATGTTTTCAATACAGCTCACTAAGTGTATATGCAATATAGTCGCACGAATTCATTTCAACCAATTCAAACATAACAATAATGTTTCAGACGGAGTTTAAATAATTTGCATTCTAAGCCTCTCGTGGATAGTACATGTCTCGTGGACTAGTCTCGGGATTATAATAATCTCCCAAATGTCAAAAGCATCCTTCCTAAGTAATAGTGAATAAATTATATTTGCTATTGGTCTAAATTGCATTTAAACGTGTACTCTAGGCTCTGATTTATCATAAGCATAACATAGTATTATTCAATGTCATACAAAACTACCAAACGACGCACGCGCAATTTCCAGTCAACTACCACACTGTTAATACAATACGTACGGAATATAATAGTTCTTGGGTTTTAGCATTGAGTAAACATATGTATGTGGGACTAATGGGGAGTGGGGTCTAATAGATTCAAACGGCGCACGGTCGTTTCAACCAACCGCGGCTGACTGCAAAGTAATCAACATTGGAGTTTGTTTTACTTTTCCTAAGCGTGATATATCATTAAATAATATTCTCATGGGAAGAACTAAATGCATGTCAACGTTACATAATTGCTCACTTAGATACGACACTGATCATATACCTGCATGCAATCCAATGACTACAATTTAATGGGGTTATCTAAGTCAGGCTTGTGTATTAGTCATAATGTTTATATGAATGACAGATAAAGTTTTTATGACCAGCGTGAATAGTCAGGGATTTCTATTCAACTTTAGGCAGCTATAGAACTGTTTTTATTACAACGTGCGAATAAGTTATTCGACTAATACCCGTGGTTGCAATCATCGCGCTGAAATGCATTGATTGGGCCGTATTACCGTAATATTCTCCAATTTTTATATGTACATGCATCCCTATTAATATTTACTTGAAAGGCTTACTTGAAATGTGACATCGTAATGCTGCTTGTCAATATGAGTGGATGTCTGTGTAAACTCATGCCATCCAGTAAAAAGTAAAATCGCCGTGTTGTTCCTATAACAAGTTGGGGGTTGGTTGGTTGGGGTTGGGGGTGGCACAGAATCCTAATCAAACCAACAAGGTATACACCTATACAAGTATAATTATTATATTATTGCCAATACTTGATCTATCGAAAACGGAAAGTACACAACAAAGAGACAAAAACATCAATCACTGGAATACTTAAACAAACAAATTACATGAATGGTCGGATCATTAGCGATTGTTTAGAAGGACATTGAACAGTGATTGGATAGATTTCCATCTTTCATAGTTGTTCTGAATGTTGTAAACAACACTGTTGTATCCGAAAATCTCGTTCTACTCCATTAGCGGTTCGATCTCCATACAGTAAACGTAAAAGGAAACACTATATACGCTTGTCCTGATAAGAATTTTAAAATTGAATGAAATGTATTGTCAATAGACGACTGGGGGTTGATTTGTTGATGGATCGATACAAGTGAATTACCGGTTTGATAAATTGGTGCCATCAGCTGTATGCTCATGTTCACGATTAAATCGATTGCTAGGAATATTCTCCTAGGTCACGGTGAATATTATCAATTGTATCCATCATTTGAGACAACTGTCACTGCCAGATGTCGCATACCTTTGTATCAGACTGATGGATTATTTCCTTCGTACTTTCCTTTCTTTCTCTTGCGTATATGTTTGAAATGAGCTCCCGTCACCAGCATAGTATTACATTTTTCTAAGTTAACGAGATTGGACGGGTTCAACTGTTTTCTAACCTCGTTCTCATGTATGTCTCGTTTATATAGTAGTGTGTACTGTCGTGTGTAATTTATTAGCGTTTTCAAGAGAAACAAAATTTTAATTATCAATGCTATTAATAAGATATTATATTATTTTAAAATATCATTGGTCAATTATTCGCAATGAACCAACACTGTTATTATCTGGTAAACTAATGATTGAACAAAATGGTTATTTAGATTAATTAGGATATTGATTGTGTCCAATCATTATTGACATTAATTTGTATACCTTGTCTACCAGGTAACTGTGCAAGCAACATGTGGGACTCTCACCGCCTTGACGGTAGATAGATACAAAGTGATTACCATGCCGTTAAGATCAATGGCAATACGAACCACCAAAAAGACAATGATATTGATTGCCATCATTTGGTTAGGTAAGTATATTCATCAGAAATTGACCAAGTGTCTACTGGATTGGCCTCGTTTTATCAGATATTGGTTTGTGCACCTAAATGTTAATTAAATCACAGATCAGATTTATATCTCGTGTATCTTAATCTACGTTACGAGATTGTTAGCATTGTACGCAAAACGCACTATTTCGGCACTAACCAATCTGACACCATGTTTGTATTTGTCGATATTTGTAAACCAATTATAACAGAACACCTTACATTGTAGTGAAATAACTACCAAAAGTTTAAATCGGGCTCGATACAAACAATTGATTAATGTCTTGTCGTAAACATTATCACCCATAAATGTACTACATCCTATGGTCTCACTGCTATCCTCACAATACATCCTATGGTCTCACTGCTATCCTCACAATACATCCTATGGTCTCACTGCTATCCTCACAATACATCCTATGGTCTCACTGCTATCCTCACAATACATCCTATGGTCTCACTGCTATCCTCACAATACATCCTATGGTCTCACTGCTATCCTCACAATACATCCTATGGTCTCACTGCTATCCTCACAATACATCCTATGGTCTCCCTGCTATCCTCACAATACATCCTATGGTCTCACTGCTATCCTCACAATACATCCTATGGTCTCACTGCTATCCTCACAATACATCCTATGGTCTCACTGCTATCCTCACAATACATCCTATGGTCTCACTGCTATCCTCACAATACATCCTATGGTCTCACTGCTATCCTCACAATACATCCTATGGTCTCCCTGCTATCCTCACAATACATCCTATGGTCTCACTGCTATCCTCACAATACATCCTATGGTCTCACTGCTATCCTCACAATACATCCTATGGTCTCACTGCTATCCTCACAATACATCCTATGGTCTCACTGCTATCCTCACAATACATCCTATGGTCTCACTGCTATCCTCACAATACATCCTATGGTCTCACTGCTATCCTCACAATATTCATCGTTTGTAAAAGAATATTGAGCTGTTGTTTATTGTTATTAGTATAGGCATACTGTAAAATGACTAATTTTCACTGGGTTTAAATTTTGCTGATTTACCATTTCAGGCATATTCAGTGGGTTTTAAATTCACGGTTTTATCATTTAGATAATGTGTTCTATGCTAAATTTTATATATTCACTGGGTTTTAATTTAGCGCATTTTCCAGTCAGCGAAATAAGCAAAATTAAAACCCAGTGAATAATTAATCCTTTTACAGTATTATGGACGTATAAACACATAACGTCTGGAGTCTGGCTAGAGTGAGCGGTCGCACCCTCCTCTTCACCATGCTATGTTTCCGAAACGGTGGTTAGGAATAACGTTCAAAATTAACAATGTTAGTTTTAGTAATTTGAGGCAAATTTTTAACAACACTTGGCTTTGTTATAAACATAGTCCATATTTGTAAGCCATTACACATTCAGGACAACTGCTACCAATCAATTGGACCCCGGATAAGTGCATCTGTTACTCCTCCAAATGTCAGATAAATAATCGTGCATTTGATTGTTAATTATTGGTATTTTAACTTAATGTATTGTCTGAGTATGAATACTCGATTTTATATGTATGTTTTTGCGTGTCTGTTAAGTGGGCGATGTGATTTGCAAAAGTCATGAGTTCGAATCACGCATGTCGTATCTTTTTATGTTTGGTATTTTCCTGTACTTACACTGTCTGTTCGAATGTCGCCGTTTATTCCAACAGGTGGTGAGATCAATGAAAAGTAGAACGAAATACCATGCCCAATCAATATTTGAAATGTATTTATCAGTAAATGGCATTTACTAAGAATATACAAAATAAGAAACGCCCACCGAACGACTGACAGACATATTTACAAAACTGTGATTTCATTTCATTCACCATTATTTTTCAAAATCATATTAAAAATGTATGTAATGTAACATCATTTTATGCATGAATCCTCATAACTAAAAAGAAAAATAATAAAAATGAATACACTGTCATGATATTAACATACACACACCTTTGTTATAACTGAGCAATCACTGTATTAGAAGAGATATTACCAATGATCAGTTATAAAACGGCGAATACACGAGCCAATGCATGAAAATAATTAAAGAAGCAATTAGTAAATCACGAGTAATTATTAGGCATTTGCATACAGCACATCAATCCAATTAAACGCAACACAATCTAAAGGAGTACTTATCTCGATTCAAGGAGTAGCTTCAAGCTCACGGAAACTCTAAACCTAACATTATGATTTTGTTTTTGTGTTGCCTGAACACTGTTACCATTTTGAAACGCTGTCCCTGCAAGTGAAACCTTTTGAAATATGAGTGTCTATATTTTAAATTGGATATTGTCTTATTTTCTTCTTGTCAGGAGGTGATGTAGAGCCCCGAGTGTTTGTTTCAATTTAATTTAAAATGTCCACACTATAAAATATATCAGATGCTTTTTTGTAGATAAACAGAACATAACTTTCACATAGATACCAATTACTGTTTTGCGAATTGATATTTAGAGTAAATGACATGGAGATTCGGGAATCGTCTTGTAAGACCAACATTTAATTGCTTATGAACACCCTTGCAAAATGAAAATGATAATCCCTGATAATCTGAGTGTAGTTTGTTCCGATATTGTAACAGTGCCAAGGCCAGGAGTGTCTAGATATAAAAATAGGTGATACTAGTGTGATCAACATATATAGCATTTTAATGTATCGCTTTGACAGTATGCAGATTAAAGTCTTATACCTTCGGGGTTCCAGTGTGGAATATAACGAGTTTTAGTTAGTGTTATTTAGTAATTGGTATTCCTATCTAATAGGTCAGAGTGATATCCATAAAGTGTGAATTTATTCTTCAGTTGTATTATTTAAAATTATGATTAAGAGCGATAATAACATTTAGACATGTTTTTTACATTAAAATTGTGCTATAAACTAGTTCTGATTATCTCGGCAACACCAAAGTAAACCCGCTTGTAGAGGGCATATCTCAGGGACACGAGAAAGTGATTGAGTTCTGGGCATTGAAAAAATAGTGATTATCCTTCATGTTCAAGTTCAATCGTGACGAATCAACCTCACAACCTCTGTGTTAACTGGAGTCTAAATGGTACTTTCGGCTAACTCACGGTCACGGCAAATACTCGATTTGTTTTCGGCAAATTAATTCGGTCATGTAAAAGTCGTGTTCAGTCATGTGATACGAGTAGTTGACTACAGGTAATACAAATACCAAAGACATATAAGTATTTTACTAAATATTCAGTGCTAACTGTTAATTGTATTCGTTCGAGTCGTGGGTGACAGCGAAGACAATGTTAAAACTTATTCTACTGGTTGTATGAAATATTTCGTTCAGAAGATGTGCTCGAATCACGGAAACAATCCACACGGGAAACACATCTTAAATGCAAATAGCTGTCGAAGTCTCGTTGTAAGCGAGTGAGCCTCGTGACCTGTTTTTTTTATCTCCCGCGTTCACTGTCCAAATTCAATGGTTATATAGATCATTGGAACAGTGAACGCGATAACGGCAGAGAATGGAACACTATTTGACAAGTCATGTGGCTTTTTCGGCCACCATTTGTGTTCATAATCTATTAATTATTGTATATTAGCATCAAAAACCCATACGTAAATTATATAATGTGGCCCTATATCGACTACCTTCAAGTGACTTGGGTGTACTCTGATATTTGAAACAACATGGAAAAATGTATTAAAATGTTAATATCTTGAATTATCTAGTTCGTTTGTAAATATGTTTTTTCAGTTTTTTGGTGGGCGTTTATTGTTTTGTATAATCTTGGGTAATGCTCTTTACTGAGTATGAATTTTCGATTATCTCTTGCCAAGACAGTTTGTTGTACTTTTCAATGGCCTGATCATCTTCTTCTATATGTCATTTTATGGATAGGTAGTGCTTATAATGATAATATTAGGTTTATTATGTTCTGCATGTTTATGACGTCATTGATTCGAATTGTGCATGTCAATTTAGTCATTGTAAGTACGCATTCACTGCACGCTATTTCAAGCTGTTTTCGGGGACAGTGCGCTGTGATGTAAAACACGTGTTACCCACACATTTTCACAGTCAATATATACATACCCGACATTGGAGGAAGGTACTCTAGAAATCACGCACCTCACGTGTTCTAAAATTACAAATGTGGTCAGCTGATAACGACTGCTTCCATTGATTCGAGTAGTTTTTTTCAATTAGCAACAACGATGAAATGTTATACGCAATAATTGGATTTAGTGTCACGCTATCAAAACTTAGTCGGTGTCATAAGTCTTAAATTTATGATTATGATAATATTAATATCACAGATACCATATTGTGTAGTTATGAGGGGTGAAACGTCCTCTACAGTGTTCTCATGGTATCCACACTTTTCAAACCTGATTAGGTTAAACGTTTTGTATTAGGTTTTACATATAGCTCTTCATTACCCTAATATTTAAAATATTTAAACAGAAATTTATAAAAGTAAGAATTAATATCTAAATGCAAGTTATTTCCTCATTTTCTATTTCACAGGGTCTCTACTGCTACACATACCAATACCAATATACACAGGCGTTGAAACAGACGGAGATCAACATTTTTGTATCCGAGTATTTCCTAATGCTAATGCAGATACGGTATATCTGATTTACTCGTTGATCAGTACCTATCTGCTGCCGCTCGCCATCGTCGCTGTATGTTCTGGCCTAATACTACGTGCCCTTTGGTGCCAACAGGAGCATAGCCAGTTGCATAAAAACAAGGACGAGGAGCGCGTGAGAAGGCAAAAATGGCGTGTGACCAAAATGGTGTTCACTGTCGCCGGAGTATTTGCCATCTGTTGGGCGCCTATACAGATGTTGAATCTGTGGTGGTTATTGGATGATAATTTCCCCGAAACTGCAGCCACTCATTATTTCCGCTATTTCTGCCTGTGCCTATCGTACTCTAATTCTACAATGAACCCGTTCGTGTACGCGCTGAGTGGTCGTAAATATCGCCGCTATCTGAGACGCCTGTTTCGCAAAAAACGTCAAGCTAAATTTTCGCGGGGGTCGATTACTACCACCACCACCTGCAACACCACCCTGACGACGAGCATCAAATTCCATGGAGAGAACGGTCGAGGAGATAAACCATGTATTCTGTGAAACGACCGCTGTTATCAAGATATTTTCAAAAAGAACATAAATTAATGTGTCTTGCAATCAAGAAGGAACAGTCAGCTTTTAAAGCATTTCACTAATGGATAAATGCCGGTGAGCTCTTAGGATTTGATTGCATCATATGGCGATTACAACCTGCGTCAATGACATGCCTATCCACTCTGAAAACTGACATATACAAATGTTCATTGTATCCTCTACGGAATAAGTCTGCCGCCTTTATTGGTGAACTATAAATAAGATCAGATAGTCATGTCACTCGCATTTTCATCTCGGCTTATACAGAATGTGAAGGTCAGCGCATCAATGTTAGACTGCAGTGGAAATTCTGAAGCGTCGACTAAACCAAGCATAAACATTCATAAAATGAGAAAAAAAAACACTTTCTAAACTACTTACGTCGATCCAAGATAAGATTGTGGAAGAATGAATGGACACTGAAGTGGAATTTCTACGACGGAATAGAATGCCCCTTTCAGAAAAAGACAACAACCTTAAAGATCGCATTGTTAGTGTCTTCTAGAAAATCTCAGCCTCGTTTAAGAAATGCCCACCAGTGATGATATTACACATTTTTCAAGAAACCAGCTACTTGTTCTTATTGCCAAAGACGATAAAACCATCTGCCATGAGTAGCTGTTTTTAAAATACCCTGGACGAGAATCTTACACACGTAGTGATTCAGTAATTCTGATAGATTATAGGACAATATCGCATGCGTATTCTACAAGCTATTCAATGTATATGTCACGTACTCATATTAGAACTATATGTAGAAACGAGGTTTTCACTTTCCCTTCCGTGTTTCGTTGCATACGTAATACGTATTTCGCTATTTATTACTGTGCCAAGATTGAAATTGAAATTTACGAATGATTGTTTGCTCGGTATCTGTATAACCATTCGTGTTCTCAATATAACCATTTAAACATTTCGTGATATATATATATATATATTCATATAATAGCTATTTACATCAGCGTTTATCACAGCTCTTATTCATCTATTTTATGTATATTCGTAACTTCTACATTCAACATGGGTAGATTTAATCACATAAAATCTATAGCGTAGTGGCGTGTATTCAACATATTTATAGGCATATATTGGTGTGAGAAGGTCAAGTTATTTCAATCTCAGTTCCGAGAATTTCTTCTGAAAATGCATTACGTATTCAAAAGTGTATCTCAACTAGTAACAAAGCTATGTTCTATATCATTAAAGTGTCAGTATAACCATATGCGATATTTTGATGTTTTTTTAAATAAAGTTTGGAAGAACAAACAAACTCTGTTTTATGAAAAGTGTACAATAAATGGCGGTAACAAACCGAGCCATGAAAAACGACTTTCGGCCATGATAGAATAGAGCTCAATGGTTTGTCTCAAAAATGCGTTAAGTTAATTTTCAACCCCTTCCCCATTGTGGCGATGTGCAAAAGACCTGAAATATATAAAAGAATAAGTATTAGTTTTAATTGATCACTCGATTTTAGTGACTATTTGTGGCGTTTTGGAAAGTCCAGAAAGTCTGCACATATAAATCCAATCATACAGTATATATCTTCATTGGTTGCCAGTTCGTAATAGGTTCAATAGTAAAATAAATTGTATAAACTGTCTAAGCTTTATTTAGAATCTCATTCATACATATACACCTAGTCGACGTCGACAAAAAGACTTGTATTCTCTCATGCTGCACCCGACTCTGGGACTCTCGACCACTTTGTTAGAACAAATTAAAGACCAATATATTTTCGAAAGCATTTAGGCTTAGGTACATCGCCATTGAGTGTTACACTGCTACATGTACTAGCTATAATGTAGATTGATTGATTGACTGTATGATTGATTGATTGATTGATTGATTGATTGATTGATTGATTGATTGATTGATTGATTGATTGATTGATTGATTATGTTTAGTGCCACTGAAAGTTGGTTTCAATTACGTGAGTAGAATACATAAACTAACCAGTAAGATAAGTAAAATAAAATATTAGAAATCAGTGCAATGCCAAATCCATTGACAAACACGTCATAAATGTTGCATGAAGACTTATTTAATTTATGTATAAATGGCATGCATTGTATGTACTTGAACGCGATACGTGCAATATGGAAAGTCGTATATTCTGATATTCATTTGAATGTCGATGTGTGAAAGGCATATATATACCAATACCCATTTAATTGACTCAACATCGACGTACTCGCGGTTCAGGTACTATTTGTTAATTACCCTAATTCGTATTTATATTTTTATAAGAACATCACCAACGTTTTTCACCTCAAGGCCAGACATTCTTCAGATCACCTCGAGGTGACGAGTTCTATTAACCTACAACGAAAAGGGATTTTTTATTCATTAATGAGAATGGCTTTCCTCTCCAGTGACACAAGAAATATGCCTAACCTTTACGCTGCAGCTCCCGCCGCTAGCATGACATCCAATGAAAAGGCGACCCAGAACACTACAGCTATTTGTGTGTGATCGGCACTGTGCAGTATACTGCAAACACTGAAAGGTTGTTCTAGTAGAGAAAGGTTAACTCGGTTCACGCTCATATCCAGGCGGATGCCTTTAAAGGATACGATAACACAGTGGGTGCATGGAGTAGTGTGATCATCATCTCCACCAAAGGCTAATAAGGAGCACATTCCATATGTTGTTTAATTAGAAAACATGACTCTTTAACATACCCAGGGTATAATAATAGTGCCATGGGGAACGTTTGATCGATTTATTACTAAATTATTGGCACCATCAATGCCTGCAGAAGTCATGTGCTGGGAGTAGACGAATGATCCACGACTGCCTTCCCTGCCTAATTACAATAAATACAAGTTCATCAGTCATTCAAGTTCAGTATGCTGCACATTTGAGTGTACACATCTGTAAATCGATATATGTATATAGTTAAGCCAGAACCCAGCTCCACTGTGAAATGTAATAAGAACGTTGTAGATCAGGACAGCGTTCAAGAACGTTAAGCATTGGGAGATAGCAAAACGCGGTAGCCTGGCTCAGCTGCCGTTATATGCCATCTAAGCTCTCGCAAACGGATTACATTGTTTTCGCAATAACGGAATTCGCGAAAAAAGGCAACATTTATGTTGACAAGTTTTTCGAACATCGTACCATAATTTTGTGGTATTACATATGATATTAAAATCTTGCCCATTGAGACATGCGCATCTCAGATATAGTATCATTATGGGATATTTCCAAGACGGTGGACATGTGACTTTAGTATAGCCGCTGCTCAAAATACCTAGAAACGAATACCCATCTCAGTTAAACTATGACGAATCCGTTATCAGAAAACGATAACCTTGTCGTTGAAAAACATTTCTGAAGATATTTTCCCACGAATTGGCTGTTATTTTTACTACTACTAATAATAAAAAATAACATTTTATTAGCCTTTTAAACGGTGTAGAAATAGACATACAAATCAGAAAGAAAATTAGATTTACAATTAATTCCACCTGAAAAAATCTATCTACTTACAGTCGGTTTTTCACCCACATTCCACTATTGTATCGGTCAGTACTGAATAGAATTAACTTCCCAACTGGTTAGTTGACAAAGATTTTTTAGTTTACAGAGAAATATAAAGTGATAAACATCCTCCTTTCCATCATGCCCCGTCACCCTTATAATTTTCCATCCTGTTTTATTCCCGTCCAAGTCCATTGTGTTTGAACTTACCTTAATGAGGAGGGATGTGCCATGATGATCCTAAGGAACCTTTGTATACTTTTCTTTTTTATTGGTGTGTTTAATCAATCCATAGTGCTATAGGGATTTCATATCTTAGATAGTTTCACCAAAACGCTTTATTTCCTTTTCTTCACTAATTCTTTTATTCCAACTAATTATGTGGTTTTTTGAGGATATAAAAGTGATCAATACCATTATGAATTATTTTGGCCAGTTCTAAATATTTGTCAAACACTTAAGGTAGTGATATTTTTCAATATTCTTGCCGATCTAAAAGCCCCCTTTCGTGACGATCGACGTGGCTGCGATTATTAGGAGGATGCATACTATACACCCAGGCAGTACATCGACCTCCGCTGTTGATGCTGTTGTTTTCTGCGGTATTCTCTGAATAATATAATTTTGATATAAGAAATTAGTCACATACAGATCAATTCTCCAAGAATGATTTAACATCGTGTCGCTACATTTCTTTTTTTTCAGCAACACAAGCAATTCGGCGAAAACGTCTCTCTACTGTAAACGACCCCCCAACCTTACTATGTCCAGATAGACATGCGCAATTCTCTCACAAACGACATGCATAACATAATTCTATACGCAAATAAAGCCTAGTATTTTCACGGTCATAGTGACCTACTCAGTTACGAACTTCCTCGGGAACACTCTGTCCACCAACAGTGAAACGTGATTTCACTCTATGGCGGAAAGATTGCCAGCGTTCATACTCTTGCGAATACGATACGCTTATTAGCCATTATCGAGTGTCTACGCGCGTGGAGTTCACGTTAAAATGGTACAAGTTTATTCCCAAACCACAAATCGGCTTTGCTCAATTACGCACTTCATTGAATAAAGTGGCATATATGAATTCGAATTACCTTGAATTTGACCCGAGTAAAAGTGCTCAGCGTTAATGGGTACATCGTTGTCTAGATTTGTTTACAGTCGACTCTGTTGTTGTTATCTAAAATATATATCAAAATTGTAAATAACATAATGGTGACATGAGGTCGAGTCAAGTTATCCATATTGAATTTAATTCATATTGAACAAACATTCTTATTTCTGGGCCACGAAAATGCTTTGACCTTATTCACCCTGCACGTTACTGGTATCATGATTTGACTCAAATAAAAGTAATTGCACGTTAATGGAAATAACATTACTAGTGGTATCTCAAATTAAAATTGTCCCTGTTTTCTAAAGTAGAATTACGTTGCTATCTCATGTGCAAATAGCAGAATGGCGTGATGTCAATGTGACGGGTTTAAGTCCAAATCATTCCTAATTTGTTGTTACACTTTTAAACTGTGACAGAAGGCTTCCCTGTTAAACTCTAAGCATAATTTGAAATCTGATTAACGTTTCTCGACCAATCACAATGCATAATCGCGAGGCTTTATAAGTATGATTTGCGCAGTGCAGCCACATCGAGGATCTGTCACTAACAAGACAATTTCTTATTCTGAAAATTCACCATATTTCATATCCATGCTCTTGTATAGCGACTGGGTACCATAAAATTAATATATTAACATTCGCTCTAAGCATACTGGTAACTACAGATTTTGCATTGGCTTAAAGTTCTGGATCACAATGATCGTGGTTTGTTGAAAACATACATCTCATCATCTCTAGAATTCGTCACTTTATTTCATACAATAATATTCTGTTTGGAATACGTCGTATGGCTTTTTATAGTAAAATATCAAAATAACGACCTTTTAAAAAACACATGAATACCTTTACTTCATTAAAACGGACCAATATCAAATATGTGTAGCATGTTCTAAAACGTACAAATACTTCGCGTTTGTCAAATCCCACGCGATTTTTTGACGCCACGACGACATTTGACTGTTCTGTTTTTACGTTTGATTCCACGCATAGCCCAAGGTATATTGAATATATTGTAGCAGTTGTATTCGATTTGAGATGTAGTGTAGGTGCATATAATATACTTCTGGTATTTTCATTCAACTACGACATGTTGCACTTACAAAAATAGAGGCGATCGTGGAATCCTTATTCAATCGACTCAGTTAGTGTCCATATAAATATATCTGAATTTCCGTTCAAGGAAAAGGAAATTAAAACAATTGCCAGTTTCCACAAACATTTTGTAATTCCCTAATTACTATGTCGTAAATTAAGATGATTGTTGATGATAATAGAATGTTTCATTCAATGCTGCCACGGAGTATTTGCGACCGGGTGAATATGAATACACATTATGTGCTTAGTGGTGTTTCCTCTTCAAATACGTAAACGTGTTAGGAAAGAAGTAATTAATATAATACGTTTTTCAACGGACCCACAATTAACAACATGATGGCTTTTTATGGTCAGTTCTCACACAGGTCTTCCTACACTCATGGACCTAGATGCTATGTGCTGCTTTCTTTGGCGTCAAAACTCTTCCCGTTGTTACATTTCTATTTATTCTCCTCAAATCATATATTTGAATGTTTCTTATTTCTAAGAAGCATCCATTAGATAGATTTATTGAAGAAAAATTAAAGTAGCATTCCCATATTTGAAATTAAATGGGTGAACGCATATAATGTCAATGGTAAACAAACTCGCACATTAACATGCTTTGTGCCGTCACGAGAAACACGGGGTTGAATGAAAGAAGGAAGAAAGGAATTATGTTGCTGGGTTGAATATAGATGTACATATATTGCCAGAGTTAGTTCAAAGTTGAATATCGAGTCTGCACCTGACATTGTTCTAAATATATGTATTCTGTATTCTGCACACTGTGTCGTTATTCGTGAATAGAGTGGAAAATCTACTCCGTCTACTGACTGTGCAGATGATTAAAACCAACGATTGGCTTGTGATTGATCAATACACGTATCAATTGTGTCGTGTCGTGCTCGTCATTCCATCGTTTGTCTACACCCCGAATTGAAACAAATGTAAGTTAGAGTTTCCATTATTTTAAACGAATGGAATACAGAAAATATACGAGTAGCCCAATGTTTTGTGTGTGTGCATCTTCCCCTCGTTATCGAACAGAATGTATGCGAATTGTCATTTGTGCTTTCTTCGCGTACTAATTCTACTTTTCATGCTGTAATAGCGATTTTGCGAAAACAAAACTTGTTTTCATTCACATAAGTAACGTCACAGACAAGGATTGTTTGCATTCCAGATTAGGATTAAAAATCCATTAATGTCAGTAGTGGTTATAACTTCTCGCATTAGATTTCAAACTGACCTCGTAAAACAGTCGATATAAGTAACAGATTTGTGGCACATTCTTGTACGGAATATTTAATTGTTTCATCTCGTAATAGTTAGCACTAATGGATATACATAGCAATGTTTGTTATAACTCTATTTATGTTGTTACTTTTCATTAGTTTCTTTTTTTTTCTGCTTTTCCATCTCACATTTGAACAAATTTGATGATTGTGGTTTTGTACTGTGCACATTAATTTTTTTATTATCTATTTTCAGTTTTGTATCATTTGCTAAAAGTATGTATGGTAATTATCTGCAAACATCGCAAATTGATACGGTAATACAATTCCTATATTACGAGCTATAGAAAAATAAATCAAAGTATTCGTGTATTTAATCAGTTGATTTATTTCTGGAAAAATTAATAACGTGTTATTCTTGCAGTAGCCATCATTCGTAATTTAAAGTTTAGGGAAATTAATTGAATGAAAATTACAAAGTTATTTACACACACCTCTCGTTCGTCATGACATAAATATTCATATACTGTGTTTGGTGTTGCGGAATGTTACACGTCTCATATACTGTTTTACAGGATTGTTGTATTCGTCGAGCGTTCAAGAGAATATTTCCGGGTTAGGTGCATGCAATATTGTGCTCGAATACGTCAGGATACCCTAAGTATCATGTGTAGGGCCATCGGTTTATGGGCACACAGCATTCAACATTACAAATGATTAGTTTGAGTATTATTCTCTTGGGACGGTTAGAATGTCCTAGTGAGGTGAGAGAGACGATTTGCTGTGGTCGTTACTTCGAAACCCGTAGTGCCTGTATATATATTGGTAATGTGCCTGTATATATATTGGTAATGTGCCTGTATATATATTGGTAATGTGCCTGTATATATATTGGTAATGTGCCTGTATATATATTGGTAATGTGCCTGTATATATATTGGTAATGTGCCTGTATATATATTGGTAATGTGCCTGTATATATATTGGTAATGTGCCTGTATATATATTGGTAATGTGCCTGTATATATATTGGTAATGTGCCTGTATATATATTGGTAATGTGCCTGTATATATATTGGTAATGTGCCTGTATATATATTGGTAATGTGCCTGTATATATATTGGTAATGTGCCTGTATATATATTGGTAATGTGCCTGTATATATATTGGTAATGTGCCTGTATATATATTGGTAATGTGCCTGTATATATATTGGTAATGTGCCTGTAATATTTAGTATTTCAAACCACAATTAAAATTTGTATGAATGTAATATCAGTGTAATTGAATCAGCTGTTGTTATGAAAGTTAACAATTCACTCTTTTCAATTCTATTTTTCAAAATTGTGAGTATTTAACTTATTGTTTCCATATTTCTGCATTTCAAGGTTGTATATTGTCGTTTATAGTAATTTTAATTAATAGCAATCATGTCTGTACAGTGACTACCAATGAGCGTGGATAAACAAGATGGCACCTATTCGGACAATAACCCAAGTAATCTATTGCAAGGGTATATGCTATTTAAGGTGTAGATGCAAGTCGTTAGACATGTGGGGTCTTTAAACTATTTGTTTTTTGTTTGTTTGTTTTCTCTTGGGCGTGTAAAAGATTATTTTCACGAAAATATAGTTTAGAATATATGTAGCAGATTCTATTAGTAAACCGTTCGTACAAAGGACAGGTCTTGATTTTAAGACCTTCTCAGCGAAACCATTATAGATTATGGAGTGTCAGTTTCTCAAAAATTTTACATATTAATAATATCAATAATTAGCATTCATATAAGCCATTGACATTATTTCGTGTAAGACGATCGGCCGTTCGGCTTGTGAGGGCGCCACACACGCCTACTTGTCAGGCTATTTAACCCCTTTGACCTGAACTTTTCAAAATATATAGGCAAATAAACAAGTGTTTATAAGTTTTGAATACAACAAACAACCTGTTGGACGCAATGTTAAAGGGCGGTAGTCGTCGTGCCACGCATGCGCGAGATATATGGGTCTCATATAACCAAAGATGGCGACTTTGACTGTTGCGCAGATCAATCAGTACAAACGGAGACGTTTAATTAGGCATTTTTAGGTGATTGGAAAGTATCGAAGGAATCACTAGCGGTAAGTAATGCAAATGGCACCCAGGTCAAATCTTATACTTGTGATTTCCATTGCATTGTGGGAAAATCAATGTTTATCGACACAAATATAGCACATGCGCAGCGCGACGACTGCGGAACAAGCCACAATATCAAAACCACAAGTCACTTTAACAGCAAACAAACCAATACTTAACTTCCCTGACCAACTGTACTACTCAAGCTCAAAATAAAGTGGCTATAACTGATTTCCGTTTGGGGGTACAGCACTGGATTTATATCAGTGTGAGTCCAAGGCGGTATAAATACATATACACAAATATATATATATATATATATATATATCATTATTATAAGTGCTCAAATCCTGTATCTTACACATTCTCTATGTGTTGACTGAAAGATTTAGTCACGAATGGTGAAATTACATTATAAATAACATCCCGTACTTAAGTCTGTTTACTTTAGATTTCGAAGAGTGTCATAAACTAGATCGGCAGTGTCCTGCAGCGTACATTATTGTATAGTAACTTCCGATGAGACGTGTGGTGCCCTTATTCCAGCTGTGCTAATGGTTTCTGATGCGTTTCTATTTATCGCTTTATCACTGAAACATGAACATCGTAATATCTGAAAATTTAGCCTCTTGGCATTTCCTGGTTGCGTAGCACACGTAATGTATAAATAGGATTAATTAAGATAACGCTTAGTATCACCATGGCATAATTCTCGTGAGGAATATATATAAATGTGCCATAGGGTACATTGGCGACGGTTTTTATCACGAGGAGTGTCATTTCAAGCACGCATGCGTGGTGACCCATTGCGCTGAGCTCTACTTATATAGCTCAGAACATATCATCTTTAAAAACGTTGTAAATGACAAGTTAAGACGCTTACACGGCATTCGATGATGAGGTCATATGTATGTCGTAAGAAGGTTGTACAACTTATTATCAATAATTCTAGTTTAGGCTCATTTCTGTGGCTTTCTGTACTATCAAATAACTATATTTTTCGTATGCAAAAACGTCGATTATGTGATTAGATTTATTTTTGCAATTATGACATGTTTTAATTGTAAATGCTGGCACCTCATTGTATTTAAATAGTGAATTATCGTGGAATTGACTGCCAATTGACCTGTGCCAAAAAGATGTTAAAAGTAACCAAAAACAAAATAAATAATTGTAGCTTGATAAATTAAATGAAGACAATTGAAATTAAATAATAACCAACGGGAAAAAATAATCAGATAAAATATAAAAGACAGGTATAAAATGAATAAAAAAATTAAATAAAATAACATTTATTTTTCTTTGTGTTTGCAACACCTAGCGCGTCGTAATATTCCATCATCGACATGTGGTAAGTAATAATCGTACTAATAATTATGCATTTGTCACCGTACCACCATAAGTTACAGCGTGTCGTAATGTTGCGGTATTTTACGGGGTATCTTCATCCTACCATATTAGGAAATGCGAATTTCAAATAAGGAATGATTACGCGCGTAAGCGTCCTCTAATAATAAAAACATGGTTGCCACCAGGGTTTGACCGTACTCCACACAAAGAAGTTCGCTGATTCTGTTCTAAACTTTTTGGATTTTGGCATTTTCATGATGTATCATTGGGAGGAAAAGATAATAAGGTTATTATGAGGATACCGAAAAGTATGCACGAAGACAGTGCCTGAGTAATAGGTAAGTAATCACCGGCATATTGTATGTAATCAGGATATGGGAAGTAATCATCTGTATATAGTGAGTAATCATCGGCTTGTGGTGAGTAATAATTGGCATATGGTAACTAATCATCGGCGTGTGGTGAGTAATCATCGGTATATGGTAAGTAATCATCGGCGTGTGCTAAGTAATCGTCGGCGTGCGGTAAGTAATCATCGGCATGTAGTAATTAATCATCAGTGTATGGCAAGAAACAATCGGCATGTGGTAAGTAATCATACTAAGTGATGTAAGCAACAGCATAAAGTAAATAATCGTCAACATATTGTGAGTAATCATCGGTATATGGTAAGTAATCATCGCCATATAGTGAGTCATCAGCGGCATATAGTGAGTAATCATCGGTATATGGTGAGTAATCATCGCCATATAGTGAGTCATCATCGGCATATAGTGAGTAATCGTCGACGTGTATTGAGTAATCATCGCCATATAGTGATTCATCATCGGCATATAGTGAGTAATCCTCGGTATATGGTGAGTAATCATCGCCATATAGTGAGTCATCATCGGCATATAGTGAGTAATCATCGGTATATGGTGAGTAATCATCGCCATATAGTGAGTCATCATCGGCATATAGTGAGTAACCATCGGTATATGCTGAGTAATCATCGCCATATAGTGAGTTATCATCTGCATATTGTGAGTAATCGTCGACGTGTATTGAGTAATCATCAACATATAGTGAGTAATCATCGGTACATGGTGAGTAATGATCACCATATAGTGAGTAATTATCAACATATAGTGAGTAATCATCGACATTAAGTGAGTAATCATGGGCATATAGTGAGTAATCATTGGCATATAGTGAGTAATCATTGGCATATAGTGAGTAATCGTCGACGTGTATTTAGTAATCATCGCCATATAGTGAGTCATCATCGGCATATAGTGAGTAAACGTCGACGTGTATTGAGTAATCATCGCCATATAGTGAGTCATCAGCGGCATATAGTGAGTAATCATCGGTATATGGTGAGTAATCATCGCCATATAGTGATTCATCATCGGCATATAGTGAGTAATCGTCGACGTGTATTGAGTAATCATCGCCATATAGTGATTCATCATCGGCATATAGTGAGTAATCCTCGGTATATGGTGAGTAATCATCGCCATATAGTGAGTCATCATCGGCATATAGTGAGTAATCATCGGTATATGGTGAGTAATCATCGCCATATAGTGAGTCATCATCGACATATAGTGAGTAACCATCGGTATATGGTGAGTAATCATCGCCATATAGTGAGTTATCATCTGCATATAGTGAGTAATCGTCGACGTGTATTGAGTAATCATCAACATATAGTGAGTAATCATCGACATATAGTGAGTAATCATCGGCATATAGTGAGTAATCATTGGCATATAGTGAGTAATCGTCGACGTGTATTTAGTAATCATCAACATATAGTGAGTAATCATCAACATATAGTGAGTAATCGTTGGCATATAGTGAGTAATTATCGACATATATTGAGTACCCATCGGCATATAGTGAGTAATCGTTGACGTGTATTGAGTAATCATCAACTTATAGTGAGTAATCATCGGCATATAGTGAGTAATCATCAACATATACTGAGTAATCATCGACATATAGTGAGTAATCATCAACATATAGTGAGTAATCATCGACATATATTGAGTAACCATCGGCATATAGTGAGTAATCGTTGGCATATAGTGAGTAATCATCAACATATAGTGAGTAATTATCGACATATAGTGAGTAATCATCAACATATAGTGAGTATTCATCAACATATATTGAGTACTTATCGACATATAGTGAGTACTTCTCGACATATAGTGAGTAATCATCGACATATAGTGAGTAATTATCGACGTATATTGAGTACCCATCGGCATATAGTGAGTAATCGTCGACATATAGTGAGTAATCATCGACATATAGTGAGTAATCATCGGTATATGGTGAGTAATCATCGCCATATAGTGAGTCATCATCGGCATAAAGTGAGTAACCATCGGTATATGGTGAGTAATCATCACCATATAGTGAGTAATTATCAACATATAGTGAGTAATCATCGATATATAGTGAGTAATCGTTGACATATAGTGAGTAATCATCGACATATAGTGAGTAATCATCGGTATATGGTGAGTAATCATCACCATATAGTGAGTAATTATCACCGTATATTGAGTACTTATCGACATATAGTGAGTAATCGTCGACATATAATGAGTAATCATCACCATATAGTGAGTAATTATCAACATATAGTGAGTAATCGTCGACATATAATGAGTAATCATCGACATATAGTGAGTAATCATCGACATATAGTGAGTAATCATCGGTATATGGTGAGTAATCATCACCGTATATTGAGTACTTATCGACATATAGTGAGTAATCGTCGACATATAATGAGTAATCATCACCATATAGTGAGTAATTATCGACATATAGTGTGTAATCATAGTGAGTTTGGACTAGTGTATTTATGATGTAGGTCAAATAGTAGATGCAGTTGGAACATCGCATTCGCTTTAATAGCTGTCCAAACGGTGATTGGATGAAGATTACATTTAAAAATTAGACTTTACCAGAATGCTTAACTTCATAAGTAGACCATACGATTTTGAAAGGGGATTACACTGACTTATACTGATAACAACGTGTAACGGATGTCACATGACTCCCACAGAATAACGAACAACACTGACTTGTACTTCATTGCTATATTTGTGTATGTGTTGCATACCATTGATCAGTAGGCCTGTGTGATAGAGAAAACGGGAATAATACAAAACAACGCATGCCATTTACTCATAGGTCACACTGTATACAGATCGTTCACATCAATATACATGTCATTGTGTTATGTTACTAAATAACAGCGTTTTATTTTCGAATCATTCGTGTGTGGCGTGTGATGTGTGGGGAGTGGTGCTGTATGCGTGTGATGTGTGGGGACTGGTGCTGTATGCGTGTGATGTGTGGGGAGTGGTGCTGTGTGCGTGTGATGTGTGGGGAGTGGTGCTGTGTGCGTGTGATGTGTGGGGAGTGGTGCTGTGTGCGTGTGATGTGTGGGGAGTGGTGCTGTGTGCGTGTGATGTGTGGGGAGGGGTGCTATGTGCGTGTGATGTGTGGGGAGGGGTGCTGTGTGCGTGTGATGTGTGGGGAGTGGTGCTGTGTGCGTGTGATGTGTGGGGAGTGGTGCTGTGTGCGTGTGATGTGTGGGGAGTGGTGCTGTGTGCGTGTGATGTGTGGGGAGTGGTGCTGTGTGCGTGTGATGTGTGGGGAGGGGTGCTGTGTGCGTGTGATGTGTGGGGAGGGGTGCTGTGTGCGTGTGATGTGTGGGGAGGGGTGCTGTGTGCAATTTCACAGATGTCTACTTGTATTTAAAGTTGTTACATCATCATGCCAATCAAAGAACACGGTCACAATACATGTCGTGCTGCTTCCCATTAGAATACATCGCGAGTTAGAACTTACTGTTGTGATAAGGCCATGGTTTGAATGTCTATTTATATTATTGGCTGCCATCGGTGTACAGCCTGAAGTCACCCATTTAGAATGCCTCGTGTTGTACTGGAAACGGCAATTACATTGTCCATCGGTGTCCAGTTCCAGTGATGTATATTAAACCCACAAATATATCGAACCATCTGTACATTACTTTAAGTCATTTACGATGGACGCATTTAAGCATACGTTGTTTTTATTTCCATGAACATATTACATCTATCAATGGTTGACACACTTTCCATTGCATTAACTCAGAGTAGTGTATTCTGATATTGTATCACTTGCATTGTCATAGAACTCTTTACTATAAAACTAGATATATAGTATTCGATGTTTTAATGCACGGGTATATTGTATATATCAATGGTATACGTACGTGTAGTGATATGCACTTCAATACACATACTTAGTTATCAAATGTTGTGTTTGTAATATGTTTGTGTCTGTTGAATAAGAATCGAACATGTGTACAGTTGTGAATCACCTAGATTTTGTTTTGAAAGTATTACTCGAATAACAGCATGAATGTTCTTCCCGTTTATGTTTATTAATTCCACAGACCTAGTGATAACGTGCTGGTCAATCTTATTACATTATGGTACTGCTTATATTTATTTGTACTACACAATCGTTATTTTTTTTGTTTATTTTTATTGTTTCATTATTATTTTTATGTTAGTTTAACCTTGAGAGGTTTCGCGGTCGTCACAACTATGAGCAAATACAATACAAATTAAAATAAATACAGAAAAACATTAATTACACATTTAAAATGCAGTCTAGTTGTATATAAAATAAAAATCGTTTATGACAACCTGGATGTTAATCAAACTACTATTATTGTAATAAACCAACACTCGTTATTTAAGAGCATGTGTTAATTAAGTCAGACAATATAGCGTACTGATCAATATTACCGGTGCAGGAATATCGTGACCACCGCAAGGATAATACTCACATCGATAACAAAGTCCGCAAGGATACATACTTTGGTCGATGCAGACGTCCGCAAGGACATAGTCCAATCGATGAAGGCGTACATGACATTTTGCTGTGTAAGAAAAAAATAACATTATGTCATTTTATAATCGACACTAATGAAATGAATGTATATGCAATATATTAATAGAATTTCGTTGTATTTCAAAGAACCAATGCATCCGTTTTCTGTCGTGAATCTTGACATTATATCAATAACTACGAGTTAGCCAATCTTTCTGACATTTCAGAACAAAAGTTGTTGATATTAAATAAGGTGTGATTATTCTTCTGATATTATGTCGTTTAATGTTTAAAGTCGTCGTAAGAGTTTGCAGAAACGTGAACTCAATTTTGAAATAAAGAATTGTACATATTACGCTTGGACTGTATTGCAACTTGTTTGAATCAGGGTGACCTAGCCTAGTGTACAACGGAGTGGCATATTTTTGTGAATTTACTTCAGAATTTATTCTCCAATTTTGGGCAATGTGTAAAATAATCCTGTTCTTCAAGTTTTATATCGTAGTCTATTAAGAGTGTAATTCTAACGTGATATCTGCAAATGATAAATCACAAATTCTTAGGAATGATGTTGTTGATGTTCGACTATTCCTCCATTCCATCATGTTTTCTGATTACGTTGTGCATCGGTATTACTTGAATGATGACATGATTCATCAAAGACCTGGGAGTTTCATTAACTCATAATCTTAGTTTTATTACTAAAGCCAGCTGTAAAGCGTCCAAGATACATAAAGCGGACGTGCAGTCACATTGGTAACGTTAACGTTTTGAAGTGCTTATGTATTTTGCTTGTCCATGGTACTGCTCCAGAAGTACCTAATAGCAAAAATAGAAAGGATACAGTACACATCTCCTAAATATTTATGATTCAAATCAAAGATAACTTACAATTCTTCTGAA